TACAGTGAACTTAATATTTGACTTAATTACCATTGCTTTGGAGTGTAATGAGGTTCGTTGCAATGCAGGATTCATTTTAAACATATAGACACTAACTCATTTCTGCAACATATACAAAAAATATTATAAATGATAAAGTGTTATTACACATTAAAGCAAATATATCATAAGTAGCGCAGAACTCCATTTAATTCAAATATTACATACACATTAGTTTTCTTAAGTTTCATAATTTCAAGCAAGGAATGAAAATAAATACAAGTTATAAATTCTTTCACAATAGCACCTAGATGTCTAATGTAAAAAGTTTAGACACTCTCATGGCTTATTAAATCTCATATACAGCAGTTACGAAGATTCCGATAGTTGTATTATAGTTGTTAAATCGAGTTCACCCTAAAGTCTTAATTAGTTCTGAAGGCTTGCAATTTCGATTTGTTCAGCTGGACACGGTGATTATAAACTGTTTGAGTTTCTCAAGTTAACCGACCATTTTCAGGGTTCATTTTGCTCTGATGGAGAAACGCACTGAAATTACCATTCTGCAATAAAGCAGAAATATTAATCATGTCATGTATGACATGTTGAGTTGGGAAAAGTGCAAAGCAGAATTAACAAGTGTCGGACCCAAGATTTACATGAAAGCATAACACAGGTCAAACGCGCAAAAGGATTTGTCTATGTTAAAGTGTAATGTTGTCTCATCTTAACTAATATATTGATATGAAGGCAATTTATTCTCTTTTACTAGTACTGTTTTAAAAATGTTATTTTTATCACCGAAGAGTTTCAAAACTCCGAATTGTATATTGTAAACTTTCAGCAAAAGGGACACCCCAAATAAGCATAAAATGTAATAATATTAATAAAAATAATTAATATAGATGCTTTTGAGAAATGGAATGTTTGAGTTATTCATCCGGAACTTAATTTATGCAGTAGTGTTTCAAAAATATTGCACAAGTTGCATTTGAACGTTTCATTTTTAAACATCATGTAAAATGAGGGAGAAGATACCATTACAAAAAATAAACAAAAGAATAGCTTAACAAGGTCTTATGAAACGACATCTATTTCCGACACAAAAAATGTTTTATTAGAAATAAGAAGGTGTGGTATGAGTGCCAATGAGACTACTCCACATCCAAGTCACAATGTGTAAAAAAGTAAACAATTATAGGTCAAAGTACGGCCTTCAACACTGAGCCTTGGCTAACACCGAACAGCAAGCTATAAAGGGCCTCAAAATGACTAGTTTTAAACAATTCAAATAGGAAAACCAACGGTCTAATTTATATAAAATACGAGAAACGAGAAACACTTATGAACCAAATCAACAGACGACAACCACTAAACAGGCTCCTGACTTAGGACAGGTGCATACAAATGCAGCGGGTTTAAACATTTTAACAGGCGCCAACCTTCATCCTAACCTGAAACAGTAGTGTAACATCACAACAAATGTCAATTGAAATGGCTTAACTCGATCAAAAATACATATAGACAAAAACAAGTAATAACCTGGTATCTTTGATGAGTGTTTTATTCACTAAACTATGCCGTCTTCGTTGAATTTGTGAATTCCAGGACTTCTCCTATCCAACAATTAAACCCATGCTAAATATAAGAATAAGAAGATGTGGTATAATTGCCAATGAGACAACTCTTCACCAGAGACTAAATGACATAGAAGTTAACAAGTATCGGTCACCGTACGGTCTTCAACAATGAGCAAAACCCAATCCGCAGAGTCAGCTAAAAAAGGCCCCGAAATGACAAATGTAAAACAATTCTATAACGTGAAAACGGCCTGATTTATGTACAAAATAATGAACGAAAAAAAATATGATAAGCAGCAACACACCCGTTTGACTGTGCAGGATGTAACTGTAACTATGCACCCATATCCGGTATGAATGGGAACGTTAAATCAGATACCTTGTAAAGTTAAGTGGAAGGCTCTCTACACGTTAACAAAACCTTGCAACAACACCGAGGAATATGAAATTGGCCTGTTGCAAGACAAAAATATCTCCCCTATCCAACATACTCTCTTTTTCCAGTTGAAGTTTAAATTTCGCACTTCATTCCGGTCAACTAATTTTGCACAACCTACTTATTGAACATATTGTTAAATTGTTTTCTTCCTGAAAATTCATGAAACACTGAACTCAGATAACATATGTAACAATCAATGATCAAAGCTATTTGTGAAATTAAAAAAAAATATTTAAAGCGCAATTTACACATGATTATCAAAACTAAGGACTGTTACTGTATAGTAGCCAATGACTTAGTTAATTCTCAATCTAATTGTAACAACAACAGCTAAATTAACTTTAAATTACACTTTTCAGGACAATTTCTTAATTTTCAGATCATTTAAGTTTAAACAATAAAAAATGAAATTGGTATTGCTACCATATATTTCTATAGAGATTGCACCGCATTGCAAAGTACTAACGTCTAAATCAATATTTGTCGTGTCAATATTAATGTCCTTGGAGGGAAATGCATCTCTGGATAAGTGAACTCATATTTTTACGCTACAGTATCAAAATAACACACGACAATAAGCTAAGTGAAACAGATAGTATTGCTGTCAAATGAAAGAAGAGATAAGGTCACTTAATTGTATTAATATAACCATTATTCTATATCGGAACACTTATAAAACCTGGTGAAAGGATATCAGATAGCGTTCAAAATATTATAAAGAACATTAAAATTATAAAATTGTTCATTGAAGGATACTAGGACAAGAAATCAAGAACCAAAATAAAAAAAGAAAGTATGGAAGCCGGATGCGGCCAATTTCACGATTTCGCGTTGTATATCTATATGAAAAAAGGCGAAAACGCGAAATATGACAATGCAAAATCGCGAAATTGGCCGCACCCGTCTTCCATAGGAAAGGCAATGCAGATTTTTAGTTTTTTTAGGCATATTCTTCCTATCTTTTATACGATAAATTCCAAAAACTTTCAATAATCTATGAAGCATCTGTAATTTGATTAAATGTTTAAAAAAATTCAAAGTTGTCAATTCTCAAAGAAATGCAGATTCTATATTGTGGATTTTAGTCAAGTTTAGAGGATTTAAAAAATTAATCTGAAGTGAAATCAATACAGTGGGAATTGCCCAAACTTGATTTAAAAGTTTTATTACAGTTGTTGCTGTAAATTATTTGTAAAATCAAATACGATGGTTTCAACAAATAATTAAGTTGTACAAGTTGTAACAGTCCAATTACAAAATGATTTGAATGTATTCTTTGAAAATAAACTGTATGGAAATTCCAAGAAAACAGGATTTTTCTTCACATAAAGAGCCTTAACTACAGCATTGAATTCTCAACCGTCTTTAAACTACAAACAACTTTGATTCTGGACAATTTTCCTTCCATTAAATGTTTTATATAGATAGCCTTAGCCAGGTTTAACACGATTTATGGGGAATTTTTGGCTTTCAATGCTACGTTTTTGATTCAGCCTTCCGACTGTTTTTCGAGTGCCACTGGCGAGTCATTTGGTATATGACTGGTATGTTTGATGAGTTTAATATTCATTTCAGTTTTCCTTTTTTACTGATTTAAAACAAAGCACCCAGTAGTTTTGTATCTTTTATTCTTATTTGTCTATTTGTGGAGTGTTGATATTTGACCAATACATTTAGAATATTCAACTCATTATTTGAAGTTAGGCTTTATTGTATAGAGGACTATATGGTATGGATTTTGTTCATTGTTGAAGGCCGTACTGTGACCTATAACTGATTAAGCTTGAGTTGAGTTTAAAATATTTTTACCCTTGTCCGTTGCTAACATGAAAACTGTAAAAGTAACGAAATTAGAAAACGATTTATTTTCGTGATTTTCGCAAGAAGAAAAAAAAATATGCGAATTCAAATCATGGATATTCTCTTATCTAAAAAAAAAATATTAAATTTCGAAAATCGTGATAAATTAATTGCCGCAAATTAGGATAGAAAATCTTAAATAGTACAGAAAAACGTATACTAACGGGCAATTTACGTCAAAAAATAAAGGAATCCAAGACAAAAAATGCTAACACATAATCGTTTAGCACCATGGTATGACACGTGACATGATAGTTCTGTACAAACGTTTGTTTCACGTGGAATCAAATCTAACCATGGCATCAACAAGCGCGCGCCTCTGCATCATATGACGCAACTGTATTATTCTCTTGGTGAATATAGAATTATTGCCATTCAGAGTATACTATAGTTTCATTATGTTAACACACAGATGAACAATTATTCTGCACCTTGGGTATAACATATAACCACATTTTCATTAATTAACTGATCTGCATTAACATTTACTAATTATAGAATGTGGAACATATAATATTGTACATGTCGCTGTAAAGCCCAAAGCAAATTGTGTATTACAGATTCGATCAATAAATTTCATATCAAAATTAAAGATGACTGTATAATGTTCACAAAGTGGAGAAGACCAATTCCAAGCATATTACAGGAAATTTTCCAAGCCTTCAGTTGATTTAAAAGAAACCCTATCATCTGATAAAATAACAAAACTTTTTAGCAGAACCTGCTAAAAGAAACCCTATCATCTAATAAAATAACAAAACTTTTTAGCAAAACGAGACATAAAAGAGAGAAACGTTGAAATAATAAAAAAATAGCAATATGGAATTCTTTGACTATCTTATCTATGATGCTAAAATTATCCAAGCTATATACAGTCAGATATGCACTTAAAATGTGTATTTATTGATTGTATATTAATCCCTTATGGGTCCACCAACACAGCTACATTTTTATACAAATGGTTGAATATATATTGTCCAAAATAAGGTGGCATTAAAAAATTATAAAAGTTTCAGAATAGAACAAATGAATACTTGTACTTCCATGTATATATTTAACAATATACTTCAATAATTTTCATTTGTTTATGACCAGGATATGAATTATCAAAAAGAAAAATGCAAAATATAAATTAAACTTACCTGTTCTGTAAAAATCAATGACTGAATTGAAAACAGCAGGATGGCGGTCAAAAAAGTATTCATCTTTTTTATCTGAAAGAACATGGTATTCAGCAAGACGCGCTAGTCTTGTGTTAGGTATAGTCCGGAGTGTCGAAACGTGGGTCTCGTGTCGAACACCACCAACATTGAGCAAAATTCGTTCATCGTCACCCGTTTGTTTCTGGTATCCATTTTTTCTGATTGGAGTTGCACCTACATCGTCCAGAAAATTTGACGCTTTCTCCTCATCCTGCATATCCGATCAGACATTTGAATATATATTCCTTGTTAAACAACTCTACTTCAATTATTAAGCGTTGATAAACAAATTATTTAAGAAATATAAAATCATATTTAATTTTATATTGTCCTCGTGAGTCATCAGTAAAATATCCATATATGAAAAGTAACTTCCAATTAATCGTTTCCATATTTAGTTTCATTACAGATCAGCACTAGATTATTTGACTCTTTTATTTATTTGCAGAAAATAGTATAATTCAAGTCACGTGTTTTCCTCAACACCGAAGTTGTTTCCCTTGTGTTATGAAATGATATACCGCCCCCTATCTTAAGAGAATGAACGTACTATCGGAGCGCCATCAAACCTAGTCACTGTCTTCGAATTACTTTGATGAAACATTCGAATAGTAATACATCGGAAGAACACATCCAGGGAATAACTGGTAATTTGCCGGTGCAGTACCATGCACACTGTTTATCGAACTCTGTCTAAATTATTATCTTGTAATCATGGAATAATGATGTCGATCGAACGTTGAAGCCAGACACAACAGGGAATTTCGTGGATTGTTTTAAACACATCAATTTATTATTTATTGTCATATAATGTATAATTCAGCAGCACTGATAAAAATTGTTGGTTCATTAAAGTGCGGAAATATATTTTCAAACTATTTCATACATCCTTGTGGAAATTCCATGTTTTTTTTTTAATTAAAAGTGTAAAAAAGGAGAATACATGAAATAATCCAGGAATTTATCGAAAGTGTCGTTCGAGTGCAGAGTATATAGATATTTTTGTCAGACAACACGGTTCATTATTTTGTGTATCCTCTTTTGTTAATCTATTTCCTTCGTAATCCATTGTCCTTTTATTTTCGATTAGCTTATCCACCCAATATATAATGCATGATTGTCATATTAGAATAGTTAGGATGCTGCGACCAAGCAGACAATGTCAAACTAATTATATTGATCCTAGAATTGTAATCCGTAAAATTTTATTGCAGTTCGTCATAAACACTAAACTTGATGTAATGATATTCTCCCGTGTGGAGTCATCCGAAACTAATTAAATTCGTTTCTCTCTAGGTATTTCCATAGAACAGGATGCCATGCGTTTTTCAAAATGATATAAATGTTTTTAGATAATGTTTTGAGCATTGATTGTACCTTATCGATTCATACGATTGTCTAGAGCAGACTTCATCAGGGTAATTCCTACAATTGCAAAATTGACATCAAAAGTAGCTTTTTCTCTTACAAGAAATATTCATTTCACATGTCGAAGAAAAATCTATAAATATGCAATCTTATATACAACATAATTCTTAACGCTGACATCCAAAGGAAATTTCTAATAGAAATTTATTAGACAAAATGAACAAAAAATATAATTCCAGTTTCGAAACATCTTATCTTTGAGCACAATCAATATTTTGATATTATAAGGCTATGCGAACCGGCAGTTTATTCATTTATAATTTCTCTTCACAAACATCCTTATCAAAGAAAAAGCTAAATAATTGTGTTCAGTTGGCAGACATAGAGATGGCGTTGATATTTGATTTGTTGAGGAATTCGTATTAACATTGATAATTTTGTTTACAAATTGTATTTGTTTCATTGATACAATGATTATCTGGAATTTTCCCCAACCCAACATTCATAGAAATAATTGAAATTTATTACTGAATATTTTTATGTGTAATCAAATATTGTTTTAGGTGTCAGCCCACCAATTCACAATCTCTTTTTATTTTGCCAAATATTTCAATTATCACAGCTCTCTAAATATTTTTCCGTAAGTTTAACTTCATGAAAATCATGTATAATATCCAGAATTATACATGTATCAACTTTCTACATGCCAATTTTCAACCAATGTTTAAAGTCTTGTAGTGACACATAATTTTCAAGAGTCCCCTGCTATTAAAAATAACATATCGAGTTTCTGGAAATCTTCATTAGAATACTATTAAACACATCTACCCTGAAATTGTTTTGCAAGTTCATGCTCAAGTAAATTCAATACAATGATCAAAATATATTTCTCAATCAAAAAAGTTACATTCATATTAATTCATTTGCTAGTTTAAGTAAACAACAACATCAAAAGCACCATTTTTGTCAGAGTAGGGCTACGTTTACATATATTCTAAATTGGAATAGCAGAATTGGTGGTCTGACACCTTAACTACTACGTATTATTTGAATAGTAATAAAAGATATCAAGGGGGAAATCACACACCATAAGTCGAAGAAAAACAGATAATTGCTTAAATCCACCATATTTTGACTAATTGAATAGTTGTCTCATTGGCAATCATACCACATCTTCTTATTTTATAACACCTTGCCCTAAAGAAAAACACTAGTCCATAGAACACTGCACAGAAATTAAAGATTGGGCAACCAGAAACACACAAAAACCCGGGATGAATTTAGATGTTCCGGACAATTAGTATCTGCTTCACTAGTGGCACCCGTCCTGTAACTCGTAGTAAGTAAAAAATCTGAGAGGCAATATCTTAAAACAACCCATTATTCTGAAATTCTTTTTGATTATACCAATATGATTGTTATGACAGTAACTCGCTTCCATACATTGAGGATATATACCATTGCATGCTTTTAATTTGATCTGAAAATCTGAAGAGGTCAGCTTATACCATGTCGTCTTTGTTCTCAAGTGCATAGATACATTTACTCGGAGTTGTCCTTAGAAACCACTCTAGATGACAAACTCACCATTTCCTTACAATATGTCACAATATCAGTTCATATATCTATATGTATATGTATATGTAGAAAACTAGCAGTTCCGTAGCGTGTATGTATCCAGTATGATTGTGTGCTGAATTCACCACATCATATAATCATAATTAATACAAACGTTGCCCTCCTTCTCTTTTTAATATGGGAACCCTCAACTTCTTTTATTTTGTCTGCATACATCATAAACATGTTCAGTAACGGCATCTACGGGAGATTAAATCAGGAATAGTCCTATCGCCATATTGTTTTCGGGGTGATGCCTGTCGTCGTTGGTCGATCTTATAGTATCTATTACAATACATGGGATATTATACCTACGAAGTTCATCTTTATTATTAATCTGTCATTAAAGGATGGCAAACATGCCATACAGTTACACACTGTTTCGTTTATACATACAGCTTTACTGCGATAACTCTACTCAAAAGTTTGGTAAAGAATTGCCACTTCATTTACGACAATATATTTTCTCAATTGGATAGCAAACGGCTTTACAACACTGCCACTATGTACATACTGTTTTCGTCTTGCTTTCTTTGATATTTGATTTATTATGATCACTCGGCCAAATTGACTCAAAATAATGATGGGTCTCTTCAACAATAATTCTTAATGTTTCATGGCGACCAGTTGTTATTGGTGGAGTTCCCGGGAAGAACCACCGACTTCCAGCAGGAAAACTTGCAACCCTATAGTCAATTTAGATTGATGTCGAGCGCACCATGCCGACTAGGGATTCGAACACAACCTCAGAGTTGACAGACTAATGATCACTGCAGATGAACTACTTTTATAAATTAACAACTCGGCCACCAAGGCCCGATAAATTTATTAGCATGAGACTTGTTCAATTGGTCTATCGAACTATGTGTTATCTAGAAATCATTATCCCCTACTTGCCACACGGTGAACTTCAAATCCTTTCCTTTAAACTATGCACCTTTGAATATGTTTTTTTTTTGCACGTGTTATTTTTACTTATGACATCCGAACACAATATGTTTTCGTCAATGGATATCGTTTTTATGTAGAATCGTTTATAATTATTGAAAGGATCCGCGTTGGACACCTGAAGGGGAGGAAGACCATCAAACATAAAATTTCATATGATCAACTATATATGGGATTATTTTTGCTTCCGGCTTTTTCTAGATCTACTTCAATGCAATAAGATACTTAACTTAGATTACAACAATGTCCAAAAAGTAACTTAAAAATGTCATTTCTTCATAATTAAAACTACCGTGTGCTTAGCTTGGATGTACAATATAAAAAATAATTGGTACTTTCGAGAACAGCAACGGGATTTTCGCACTTCACGTCAATAAAATGCAGAGGATTTTGGATTAATCCCTTTTCGGTTTTAATCTAAAATGTTGGTATTTGTTACATCACATGCAAGAAAGTGGCATAAATTTTGGAAGTTAAAAGTAAAGATGGCTTGGTGTCGGAATGGTGTGTCCAGATCGTACTCTTATCTTTTGAGCTTGATACATATATGTATTGTACTTCCCTTCGCCTATATCACCCTGCTCAATATATACTTTGTTTACTAAGACGCAAAGAAGTACAACTTGAAATTTTTGTTAATAGGGTTTAATGGCAAACTATTATAGTATGACGCTTAACAATTTTGTGTGTCGGGAATACATTAAGGTTTTATTTTTTTCTCTCCTCAAAGTGATACAAGCAAACCAATCAACTATAATTCGGTGTGACCATGGAAGTTATATGTCAATATAATACTTTCATGGTATGACCTAAGACCTACTTTCGATGAATTTGAAAGGTGATCCCCAAATATGATTTAGTGAGAAAAAAAATAGGCGTTTCGTATCTATTGTGCTAAAACGAAATACTACCACAGCAAACCAACTAAATGTAATAGGAATTTTTGATAACACAAAACACAGTCAGTCAACTCATTTTGCTAAAAGGATTATTTCTTCGATATGGTATATTAATAATTAATAGTAACGTATTGCATGTTTATCGACAGAACTATACAATGGTATTATCAAAATCGAATGTCCGATGAATAATTTATCACTATACACTATTAATTGAATTGAAACCAAAGTCATACAAGCTTTTATATTAATATATAAAAGGTTCAACAGAATGGCTTATCTTTGAGTTGTAAATGAAGTTACAAATTGATATATGATTAATAAAAAAAATCATATTATATATTCATGGTGCTTTCAGTTTCAAGCGCCTTCTTTTTGTGTCGTGTTTCATAAAGAAAACACATTGTGACATCATTACATCAATGACAGTAATTTACGCATGATATATAGTCTAGATTGTGAGCGATCATTCCTTTTTTTAAGTTGAATATATAGTGAGTAAAAAAAGTTAAGCAACAAGTATTTTCAATATCATCTTCCCTTCGCCTATATCACCCAGGCGTCCATGCTCAATATATACTTTGGAATTTACTAAGACTCTACTTTTTACTAAAGGGTTCAATGGCAAACTATTGTAGTATGACGCTTAAATTAATTATAATTTTAAACTTAACAACAAATAAATTATTTAGGGCAAAGAAAATAAACCATAAGTAAGATGCAATTCTTAATCGAAAAAATAGTGAAAGATATTACCGAAATTTTGTAAATTTTTTTTTCAAAGTTTCTTAATTAAAATAAATGTGGCTAAACTTTTTATTCTCAATATATAAGATTGAATAGTTAGTTCAGTAGTTTCACTTGTGTTAAAAGACAATAGATAAGAAAATATTGTTAGAAAAAAAAACCCCATCTGTCTAATGTATTAAAAAAAATGACCTTAGACGGTTAGCCCAGTAGTCAGTACTTCAGTGTTGACATGATTTATCCTTGATATGGTCATAATTATAAATTAACTGTTTACAAACTTTGATTTTTTTTCGAAATACTAATGATTTATTACCCGGGGAATAGATTACCTTAGCTGTATATGACAAAACCTTTTGGAATTTTAATTACTCAATGCTTTTCAACTTCTTTCTTTATTTTGCCTTTTTAAACTTCTTTGATACGAGCGTCACTGATGAGTCTTTTGTAGACGAAACGCGCGTCTGGCGTACAAAATTTTAATCGTGGTATCTACGATGAGTTTATCTTTAAGGTTTTTATGCTCTCAAACGTTTCCTGTTTTTGTCATTTCAAACTTCTGGAAAATAAAGCATTCCTAGTGTATTTTATTCAAGAAATACTGTATGTGACGTACGCTCGGAAATCGTATGATATGTTTTTTCCCTCACATACTGTTATATTGTCTGTGTATTCTAGCCTTGGATCCTGGCTCAAATTAGGGCAGAATCCAAGGCTAGGTACGTATTATCTATATCTAATTTCAATATGTAAAAAGCTGCACAATTTTAACTCTTTCCGTATGATGTAAAATGTATAATTTTGTAATTTTTTTCAAACAAATTGATATTGGAAGTTATTCATTGTCATCATTGATAAACAGATTGCCAAGTTTAAATTTGCTTATCTTTGTAGAACCCACCTGATATACATGTGACTGAGATGAAGAACAGCAATAAAAGCAATGTTCCTTTGCTTTTGTCATTTTAGCTGTGCCTATACTGATTTTGTGTCATGGATGAATACCCCATATCTTTTCTCTCCTATTATGTATGCACACGATTGCTTGTATGATTAATTGTTTTTGGCTTTACGTACACGTACGGTGGTAAATATTTCATGCATGCATACTCAGGACGAAAACACATTAACAATTAATACAATAAGGAGGTTTTGCAAGATTAAGCGGGATGAAAGGCAGGACATTTGGACTCCTACTGGAAAATGGGGGTGCTTTGTATAGGGCCAGAATTTTTATCTTGCAATGGGCTTCCTACCGACCCCGTCAGAGAGTTTGTACAAGAGTTCTTTAACGTGAGATGGCACTCTCTTTACACGAAGCATCGAATTTAACATCCCCATTCCGAATGTACGTGGCTACGTATTTATAATACATCGCGCACAGCCAACCGGAAGCCCCTACTTTAGCAACTTCCGGAACAGGAGAAGTCCAAAGAATTACCATATTTCTATATCTGAGTCAACCCTTGGGATTTGTACGTAAACGATATGAGCCTGTAAAACTATCCTTGTAATGAGAGTTACAAGACTGTAATGCACGGGGTACTAAACCGTCATGTCTTAGTTTCTAAATAATTTTAATCGCCTGTACAAGGTCATTTTGAATAAGAATTGGATTAAAAATTAAGACCAAAATTCAATAAGAAAACCAAAATTCATCACATGCTTTTAAAGTTGCATCTTCTGTACACGCGCTGCAGCTTTCTTTGAGTCTTAATGGGGCTTTATTCAATTAATTTATTTTAAGTTGTAATATTATAAACTTCATTAAACGATACAGAATAAATGTAAACAAGAGACTCTCAAGAGCCTGAATCGCTCACCTGTAATTTTTTTCTTAAATCTTTCATCAATGATTATTTTTGCTTTTCACTAAATATTAATGAGTGGCTTAAAAATGCCATTTAAATGTTTCTTGACGTACAAGGAAATAAAATGAAAAATTTATGCAAGAAACTCTGAAACTCATTCAGCCCAAGTTTGGCTGAAATTGATTCAGCAGTTTCAAAGGAGAATATTTTCTAAAGTAAGCAAAATAGATGAACAAATTGTGAAAAATTGTCTTTAAAGGACAATAACTCCTTAAGGGTCAGTTGACAATTTTGGTCATATAAAACTTATTTTTAGATCTTACTTTGCTGAACATTTTTGCTGTTTACAGTTTATCTTTATCTATAATAATATTCAAGGTAATAACCGAAAACTGCAAAATTTCCTTAAAATCATCAATTCAGGTGCAATAACCTAAAAATCAGATACCCAATTTGGCTGATAATTTCAGGGCAGGTAGACCTTGACCTAATGAATACTTTAACTTCTTGTCTGATTTCCTTTAAATGCTTTAGTTTTTGAGACATAAGTCAAAAACTGCATTTTACCCTATGTTCTATTTTTAGCCATGGCGGCCATGTTTTCTGAGGAAACAGGAAATAAAACACAAACTTTATTCTAGATAACCTAAGAATCATTCAGCTTAAGTTTGATTTAATTTGGTTCAGTATTTCAGAGGAGAAGATTTTTTAAAGTTAAAACATGATAACCAAATTGTGTAAAATTGTCCTTAAAGGGCAATAACTTTTTAAGTGGTCAATTGACAATTTTGGTCATAAAACTTATTTGTAGATCTTACTTTGCTGAACATTTTTGCTGTTTACAGTTTATCTTTATCTATAATAATATTCAAGATAATAACCAAAAACTGCAAAATTTCCTTAAAATTACCAAATTAGTGGCAGCAACCCAACAATGGGTTGTTAGATTCATCTGAAAATTTCAGGGCTGATAGAACTTGACCTTATGAACATTTTTATCCTGTCAGATTTGCTCTAAATGCTTTAGTTTTTGAGATATAAGCCAAAAACTGCATTTTACCCTTATGTTCTATTTTTAGCCATGGCGGTCATGTTTTTTGAGGAAACAGAAAATAAAACACAAACTTTATTCAAGACACCATAAGGATCATTCAGCTTAAGTTTGGTTGGAATTGGTTTAGTAGTTTCAGAGGAGAAGATGTTTGAAATAGTTTACACCGGACGGACGACGACGACGGACGCCAAGTGATTGCAAAAGCTCCCATTTCCTTTGGAAAGATGAGCTAAAAATCATAATGAGCTAGTCGAATACTGATACTAGTGAGTACGAGTTCATTTTAAAAACGTTCTCAATAAAAACAAATCTGATATTAACATCATTAACTGTGTTATGAGATTGTGACAAATTACTGTAATAGAAAATAAACGTTTTGTCGATTATCATTTCATCAGAAAATTTATCGCCATTCCCTAAAAACGATGTTGGTTTATTAATTCGATGGTCAAAACAAAAAGATGATTTTGATTAAATTGTTATATATTTTTGTTTGTATTCGAAAATTATTATATGAAAACGCCATTATCCAAAATGTTATTAAACAATATCAATCTTACTTTCGCAGAAGCTGATGCTGGATTCATTGTAGCCTTCAAACACAGCAAGAGATCCTTTATCTTGTTTTATACTAAGCAACACAAGACACACACCACTTCTTGTAAGAGCGTTTTTTTCTTTCCGCTTCAAGTTTTCTCTGGTTTAAAATTGAAAAACTAAATATAAAGACAAATGTATTTATATAATAATATGTTTTAACCCTATTTACAAATATTGTTGGAAAGAAATAAGGTTAGAAAAGAAAAAAAAACAACCTTTTGTTCATTCCTTCAGAGGACTAATTAACCTATTATATACTAAAACGCATCTTCTTGAACTATTCAGTCTCGCATTAAAAATCTTTTTGAGATTGGGAAAATATTAAGAATTTGAAACTTTGTGTAAAAATCTGTATAAACCACTCTTATTCCTTGAAATTTGTACACATAGAAATAATAGCAGTGGCGTGTTTCTGATTTCTTTTCGTTCAGTGTATATATAACTACGTATTTAAAAGTATAATAAAAAGATTCAGGGATTAGCAAATTCTATTGAGAAAGAGTTATTTTCGTTATCATCATCATCATCATCATCAAGACCATATGTAAGTTAGTTTATATTTCATTTATTATAGTTTGGAATTCTATATATGCTACCTTCCTTGGCTGAACATTTTTATTTTCCGTATATTTTTAAGTATGAAGTGAAAAAGGACAAAGTCAGACGACAATAAAAACGGGGAGTGAAACCCAGTAACCAGTACATTCGTTGAATGATACTTACAAGACGGTTAATGATAGAAAGGTGGAAATAAAATAAAAAAACACAAGTCGAAGAAACCAGACGACATTTTGACAAAAAGAAGAAAAAATTACAAACATCAACCATCAAAACATTATATACAGAAAACTAATAGATTGAACACATGAACTCCGACGAAATCTGATGGAAACTCAGTTGCTCCTGAACGGTTAGACTATTTACCGGATTTGTAATAAAATAAGCAACACGACGGGTGCCATATGTGGAGCAGTATCTGCTTACCCTTTGGGAGCACCTGAGATCACCCCCAGTTTTTGGTGGGGTTCGTGTTGCTAAGTCTTTAGTTTTCTATGTTGTGTCATCTGTACTATTATTTGTCTGTTTGTCTTTTTTATTTTGGGCCATGGCGTTGTCAGTTTGTTTTCGATTTATGAGTTTAACTTTCCCTCTGGTATCTTTCGACCCTCTTTTTTAGCAGTTCCCATTCCATTAATAGCATCTGACGTGTTGCTCATGACAATTCTATGATAAATCGTATTCAGTGATGTCACACACGATGAACACAGTGCGGGATTGCGTCTACGACAAGTGAAATATATTTCAATATCACTTTGTACATTAATTTTTTAAACATTGGAAATATGAGACGTCTGTTTACACTTTATATTGGGTTACACGTAACACCTTCATTGCAGTGACTGACTCGGTCGATTCTAGTTAAAAGAAAGATAAATTTTTGATGCATTAATTAACCTGCACAACGGGAGTAAATAAAGCGGATGCTGTGCAATAGAATATAAATATAAATATTTCAGAAGAAACATTTTTTTTATCTCCCAACAAGTCAGATTAATTGAAATTTGAGATATCAGCATGGCTACTCTGTACCAAATGGTAACAAAAAATGAAGATAGTACCTTTATACCAAGCTGACTGCGAAGTCGTTAAATACATACGAGGTTGGCAAATTTTACAACTGTAATCGTTTGTTTCGAATCTCAACCCATGCACACACGACAGTATTCAAAGCCAATGAACACTGGACACTTTTAATTTGCAAAACACTCATTTGCAAATCCGCCGCCGCCTCTCCTTAGAGCTACAGTGTCGTGTATATAACCAAAATGTGCGGAATTACATGGGATTCAATAAATTCATTGCTTTTCTGCTGTTATTATTATATCTATTTTGTAATTTGATTTAGAAAAACATGGGATTTTCAATATCCCATGGGATACAGCAAATCCCATGGGATTGACCATTATCCCATGGGATTTTGGTTAAATCCCATAGGATTTTTTTGGGTCCCATGGGATAATTGTAGTCCCATGGGATATTTGTTGTCCCATGGGACAAAAAAAATCCCATGGGACTATAATTATCCCATGGGATTTTTAATATCCCATGGGACAAAATAAAGTCCTATGATTCAAATTATAAATATACAGTAAATAAATGTGTATGTTACAATGAATTCTGTTTGGTAGTAAATTGTTTTAAGATGAATCTTTTTAGTTGAATATCTTTTTTTTCCTTGGAAATGTTAATGCAATTATATTGTTCTATAACTGTTCAAAACTAAACTTTTAAACAACAAAGCAGATAATGTAAGTATCAATATATGTTTATTTATGAATTCTAGAATAATTTTTTGAAACACAATTTTTTCCCATTTGAAATCAATGAAAACTCTATTAATAGGCTTAACATACTAGTAGCTTTTTACATAAATCTAATTTTTTTTCAGGATATCCCTCCACCCAAAAAATTAATAGTTTCTTATCATCCAGCATTGTGTGATCGTAATGTATAGTCCACTTTTTTGCCATTCAGCACAGAACATTGTCATTATTGAGGTTTTAATATCTTTAGATATTTAATAGAACTTCAATTCATTGGCTGAGTGATGAAAATAATAACTGATCTGACTTTTGTCTTTGAATTTATTTTGGTCTTGTTTCTGTGTTTTCTCCTTTTATTCTCAGTGATGAATTTCAATCCTTCTGAAAAAGAACCAATAAAATCCGAAGTTATGGATAATAAAAAATTGTTTGCATACATGTAGCAAGAACATATGATTTTCAATAAAAATAGCTATGCGGTATGGATTTTACTGATTGTTGAAGGTTGTCCAGTGTCATCAGTTGCTAACCTCCTACATCCTTTGGTCTCTGATGGAGAGTTGTCAAATTAGCAATATACCACATCTTCCTATTCTAATATTATATAACAATCAATTTATGTATTCTTCTTTATAACATTTGGGTATTTTCCCCAGTTATATATATATATATCAATGTTAAAACTTTAGGCAATTACAATAAAATTCCATTTTTCACAAGAATTTGCAATATATTATACAGAAAGCCAACAATAGAAACAGCAGTTCTTTAAGCTTCTGAAGTTCTGAAAGAGTTCCACTTGTGTTTTATTTCAATTAGAAAATACATTGAACTCTTTGGACATGTTGGAAATTATAACATTGATACAAAAAATTATATTGGTTTTTTTTTCTTATTTTTGTGTTGTTCGGTTGCTGTCTCATTTTTATATATGGTTATACATATATCCTAAATCTTCTTTTTTATATACTTAATCATTAATACACAATGTAGTAAAAATGGGATGTTTTATATTTTGATAATCTCAAAACATTATTATTCTATCAAATAACTTATTTCCAAGTTCACAAAACACCAATGTGTCAGATATTAATTTTAAGACATGTATAAACATGATCAACAAGCAGTTGACAGGATGTCATGCAAAAATCTCACTAATATTAAACTTTCACAAAAACTCCATACTCAGCGAGTACTATTAAAGTTCTTAGTGCAGGAAAAATTCCTAGTACAGGACACAATGCCTGGCAAACACTAGCATGTGTCAATGTCTAGTCAATCATGTAATCAGGCTCAAAATCTTAGTTTGGCACTGAATTTAAAAATTCACCACATAATGAACATGTGTATGAAATTCAACTTCATGGTAAGCTATGTACCTTAACCTAAAACTTTAACCTAAGAATGTACTATAATTTCACATTATGACATTTCTATGTTCAGTGATCCATAAAATCAGGGTAAAAACAGTAAATGTGGTGTTTAATGTATACACAAGAGTGCACACGCTGAAATGTTGCGTCTTCTTTACTAATCATTGATATCATGTTGTTAGTCCTAAATATAAAGCTTTACTACAACTATCACATAAACTCAACATGATCCAAGAAAATGAATTCAAGGTCATATAAACCTGACAAGAAATATATGTACATCTTACAATCATTCAAATTACTAAATACAGTTGACCTACCGGTATTGCTTATAGTTTCTAAGAAGCAGACTTAACCAAGAAAACTAAACATTGACCAATGAACCATGGAAATGAGGTGAAGATCAGATGAACCATGCCAGGCAGACATGTACAGCTTACAATCCTTCCATACAACACATATAGTTGACCTATTGCTTATAGATTAAGAAAAACAGACCAAAACACAAAAACTTAACACTGAGAAATGAACCGTGAAAATAAGGTCAAGGTCAAATTAAACCTGCGGAACTGACATGTACATCATAAAATGTTTCCATACACCAAATATAGTTGACCTATTGCATTTAGTATTAGAAAAAAAGACCAAAACTCAAAAATTTAACTTTGACTACTGAACCATGAAAATGAGGTCATGGTCAGATGACACCTGCCAGCTAGACATGTACACCTTACAATCATTCCATACACCAAATATAGTAGACCTATTGCATACAGTATAAGAAAAACAGACCAAAACACAAAAACTTAACTATAACCATTGAACCATGAAAATGAGGTCAAGGTCAGATGACACCTGCCAGTTGGTCATGTACACCTTAAAGTCCTTCCATACACTGAATATACTAGACCTATTGCTTATAGTAGCTGAGATATGGACTTGACCACCAAAACTTAACCTTAAATATAAAAAAGAAGATGTGGTATGATTGCCAATGAGACAACAACTCTCCAAAAGAGACCAAATGACACAGAAATTAACAACTATAGGTCACCGTACTGCCTTCAACAATGAGCAAAGCCCATACCGCACAGTCAGCTATAAAAGGCCCCGAAATGACAATGTAAAACAATTCAAACGAAAAACTAACAGCCTAATTTATGTACAAAAAATGAACGAAAAACAAATATGTAAAACATAAACAAACGACAACCACTGAATTACAGGCTCCTGACTTGGGACAGGCACGTACATACAGAATGTGGCGGGGTTAAACATGTTAGCGGGATCCAAACCCTCCCCCTATCCTGGGACAGTGGTGTAACAGTACAACATAAGAACGAACAATAATAAAATGCTCCGCTGGGGCGCAGCTTGATACGACCGCAGAGGTCGAACCCTGAACAGTTGGGGCAAGTATGGACACAACATTCAAGCTTGATACAGCTCTGAATTTGGATTGTGATTAAATATTTGACACAGCATAGGTTTCTGACACAGAATGAATGTGGTCTAAGAACTTAACAAATTTTAATTTACCTATTCAAACCATATCATTTTTATTTGCTTTTATATATAAATCAGAAATAACCAATTTAAAATAGAAAATTTTAAAGAAAAAAAAAAGGAAAAAAAAATCCCACCCCAAATTTTTTGAACCCCCTTCTGATTCATCACCCCAAATCTCAATAACAGCCTTCCCTTTGTGGTATGGTGCCTTGCAGTACAATTTCAGAGAGATTCATACACTTGAACACAAGTTATTGTCTGGAAACTAGAAAAATGCTTGTTTTTTTGTCCCTTTTTGGCCCCAAAATTCCTAAACGTTTACGGCAATTACCCCCAAACTCAAACCCAGCTAACCCTTTGTGATATGGAACCTTGTAGTACAATTTCATAAAGATCCATACACTTGCACACAAGTTATTGTCCTGAAACTAGAAAAATGCTTGTTTTTTGCCCCTTTTTGGCCCCTAATTCCTAAACTTTTTAGGCAATTACCCCCAAAATCAATCCCAGCCTTCCCTTAGTGGTATGGTACCTTGCAGTTCAATTTCAGAGAGATCCATACACTTGAACACAAGTTATTGTCTGGAAACTAGAAAAATGCTTATTTTTGGCCCCTTTTTGCCCCTTTTTCCTAAACATTTTGGGAAATTACCCTCAAACTCAATTCCAGCTTTCTCTTTGTGATATGGAACCTTGTAGTACAATTTCAGAAAGATCCATACACTTACACACAAGTTATTGTCATGAAACTAGAAAAATGCTTGTTTTTTGCCCCTTTTTTGGCCCCTAATTCCTAAAATTTTGAGGCAATTACCCCCCAAAATCAATCCCAGCATTCCCTTAGTGATATGGAACCTTGTGGTACAATGTCAGAGAGATCCATACACTAACACACAAGTTATGTCTGGAAGTTACAAAAATGCTTATTTTTGGCCCCTTTTTGGCCCCTAATTCCTTAACTGTTGGTACCATAACCCCCAAATCAATCCCAACCTTTCTTTTGTGGTATTGAACCTTATGGTAAAATTTCATAGAAATCCATTCACTTAAACTAAAGTTAGAGTGCGAAAACCAATGTGTCTTTGGACGACAACGCCAACGTTATACCAATATACTTTTGCGGTCGTATAAAAATCAGTTGAAAGAGGCTTGACTCATCAGATGGATAAAAATACAAATACTACAAATACAAGTGGACGTGGCCGGGTACTTGTACATCCAAACAACAAAAAGACACTAAGTACAGATCTGAGAGTACTCGCAGTTACTGACAGCTAGTACAAAGCCACTAACAACTAATAAAAAAAATCATGCATCTAAGACTAAGTTCTTGTTCACTGATCCATGAAATGAGGTCTAGGTCAAGTGAAAACTCTCTGACGAGCATGAGGACCTTGCAAGGTACGCACATACCAAATATAGTTATCCTATTTAATACTCATAATATGAGAGAAATTAACATTACAAAAAATCTGAACTTTTTTTTCAAGTAGTCACTGAACCATGAAAATGAGGTCAAGGACAATGGACATGTTTCAGACAGAATTCGTATCATGAGGCATCTATATACAAAGTATGAAGCATCCAGGTCTTCCACCTTCTAAAATATAAAGCTTTTAGGAAGTTAGCTAACGCCCACGGGGGGGGTCTCAACATGGGATTTTGGGTACAGTTGTGCAGCTGGAATTTAAAAAACACCCCCATTCATATATTGAATTATTGTGAAATCCCTACCTATACATATATTTCACAGCGAAATCATAACCCATTAAGTGAAGATCGTTGCACAACAAACTGAAAAATTATGACCCATTGATATATTTCCTTGGTAAAATTGCACCCCATTGATATATTTGATGCATCAAAAAAGGGACCCATTCCAGCGGCACATATGTATATACCTTAATATAGGAAGAGACCCCCCCGTGCTAACGCCACCGCCGTACCCGCCACCGGATCACTATCCCTATGTCGAGCTTTCTGCGACAAAAGTTGCAGGCTCGACAAAAATACATGAACATTTTAAAGTACTAAATTTTGAGTATATATACATGTAAAACCACAAGTTACTAACTGAAGTTCATGGTGAACTGTAACCAAAAACTTTAAGTGAATACAATTTAGAGAAAGACAGATGGATGCACAAACACTATCATAACAGAGCACAAAACTTACCAAACAAGATGTTTTACATTTATCCTTCAGAAGCAGGAAAACTGAAGTGTTTCTTTTCTTTCTCTGCCCTCCATGATATAAACTTCAAATTCATTCATGCAAACTATGAAAATCTGCAAAAGTAGGACCTTGTACCGCAGCTTATCCACATTTTGACTTTTGAACTGCATTGTTCTTTTCATCTTGCTGGCAACCTAAACATAAAAAAAAATGATAAACACATAATTCTGGATTAACTTTGTGTATTTATTTTTGTTGGTACAAACAATTTTTTCCAACTTTAAACTAAATCTGCCTCTGCTTTAAAAAACAACTGAAAACCATGTATTTATCTTAATTGAAAACAATTTCTTGAGTTTTTCTCATTTGTATCACCCTGTTATTATATATAAATTTAATTTTTGTCCCTTTTTAAAAATAGGAATGGTTTAAATTCCTCAATAATCATGATAATTCTAGTCAGTCAATTAAAAATGTATGAATAAATTATTTAACCTGTATACTATTAATATCAATATATTTCATTTTTGATAAAAACTAGGCTCTGTGTTGAAGACCATACCTTGACCTATAATGGTTTACTTTTATAAATTGTGTGACTTGGATGGAGAGTTGTCTCATTGGCACTCATACCACATCTTCCTATATTTACAAACAGATTCTATGGGCGAGCAGACATTATACCCTGGAGGTGGTTTTAAAAAAAGCATACAACTTAGATCAGTCAGGGGACTTATTGAAATAAGTGATTTTTAAATCACTTATTTAAGTAGCAAATTCGAAGTTTTGTCACAAATTGTGATTTTGTAGTTTTACCAAAATTTTAAACACATAGGTTTAGATAATATCTTTTCATTAGTAAAATTGAAAAAAACTAACTTTTTGCTTCTTTTAAGCAGCAAGGTTTATGCCTTTGATGCAATCATTTAGTTGCAAATTCTATTTTAGTTGAAAAAATGCTATAAAAATGGCTTTACATAATGATCTGATACTTTCTTAACAGATTTTTCCGAGCAGTGGGAGTATTTTTCCTGTAAAATTCAAGGTTTCATCTTATAGATTATGTAATAAAATTCTACTGTTCGCGATCAAAATTTCACTGTTCGGGGGTGTTGAAATTAGTGGGGGTTATTAAAATAATGATACTTAAAGAAGTGATTTTTTGGAAGGAAATTGAGGTATGATAGTTAAACAAGTGATTTTTATGTCATTATCCTAGATTTAGTACAAGGTCATCACCTGACATGACCTGGTCATCCTATCAACACAGATGTTGGTTCTGATAATTTTAGCAACATAATTAGTCCCTGGATCATTAGTATTCTATATTTAAAGCTACAATAAAATTAAATCACTTAGTCTAGTGATTAATTTGTACTACTCAAATAGGTGATTATTAAAGAAAGACAACTCTTACTTCCAACCTTTATGGACATAATGTTACTTGAATCAGTGATTTAGAAAATCACTCATTTAAGTAATTCCCCTGACTGTAGATGTACCATAAGCATGGAAAAACAATTCAGCAGTCAGTTTCACAAAAAAACTTACAAATAATATTGATAGTAATTAAGTCATGTACAATACAGTATACTTACGATAAATTGTAATTTTTTTTTTTTGTAAAACCGACTCAAGTATACTTATAATCAATCTTGGTCGTGAGTATTAAGTATTATTCATCTTTTGGATAATTTGTTGGTTTATTTTATGAATATACAGTGGCAGATCCAGAACTTTTCATAAGGGAGGGCCGGCTCCAGTCATGCTTCAGTGATCCCTATATAATCAACCAAATTTTTCCCAAGAAAGCCGGTGCCTGTGACTGTGTTCAAAGTGGTGGGTTTTCACCCTCGTTGTATTGCGGAATAACGATTTAGGCAAATTGAGAAAAACATCATGTCTGTGGTTGATAATAGTGTGTGTGCATTAATTTAATTTTCTATACCTTCTTATTTAATATTTTTCCAATTTTGAGTACTGACGGCAAGTGTTGTAACCAATGTCTTGAGATCAATGTGCTATTTACAAGTGCGATCGAGAAATGCAGGGGAAAGAAACTTATCAATTATGTTTATTCTTAAGACAAAACTGAGCCGATTTAAAAATGAACCGTGTCGAGGAGGTTACTGACACGTAATAGGGCAGAGACATATTTACACATATGTGTATATATGTCTCTGTAATAGGGTCATCCCTCGAGAACATTAACTAGTACATTGATAGTTTACTATGCAGTCAGTATCCCGGAAAAAAAACGTATGGATGCAAAACGCTTAGTGGTTTCGGCTGACTACTAATACGGCGTGCACTTTGTCTAAAAAATATCCCGGCAGCGTTAAAGTTGAAGTCAGGATCGGGGGGGGGGGGGGTCTTCTTTTTCTGTGTTATTTACTTTTTTTTGCTATATTTCTACAAACTTACACTTTTTGCTCATTACTCTCTTTCCTCATATTTTAGCATTTCATTATTCTTTAATCTTTATTGTTTGCCCGTTATTCTCTATTCTGTTAACCCCCATCCATACCCTGTTATGTGGACTTAAGCTTTCGGTAGTTTATTTTATCCTACTTCTGTCTAAATACATTATTTATCACAAAACAAAAACTTACTAAATATTTATTTATGAAGTCCTCACCAGTTGCGGATCCAAAAAATGTCATAAGGAGGCACTAACTGTGTCATGCATAAAGAGGGGGCCCGCTTCAGTGATTCTCTAAATAATCAATAAATTTTTTTCCAAAAAAGGGGCGGGCCCCCATGCCCTCACATTAATCCACCTCTAAACCCTTCCCACTTCGTATCCTTAAATTCAGATTAAAGATCTCTCTGACTAAAGTAAGTAAGTAAGTCACATTTGCTTATATCAGGTTTTCGAATTGAACTGGCGGATAGTTGTTTCATTACCAATCGTACCACATCTCCTTATTTATATATATACGAAAGCTTTATTCATATTTTTTGGTGTATTGATGAATGTGTAAAGATGCAGCAATTGTAATACATTTTAAAATACAGCACAAGAGATGCAGATTATATAAAACCAATCTCACTATACAAATCCTTGATAAAACTTATAAGTCGAAGACATACTGACAAACGCCATGGCAAAAACTTAAAAACGACCAAATGACCTACAACAGTCTATAAAACTTGACTATAGCATTTAAAACACATAAGAAGCACCCAGACAGTCAAACAGAAATTAAAAGAATAAATAATTTGTAAAGATTTTCAACTAGGCCTACAGCTATATTTTCTTATTGTGTAACAGTAGGCTAAACATAGGTTCTGGTATTATGTGATAAGTCATTTTTTTATGCAGACCCTTAAAGTGGTTTTATGCATATCAGCCCAGATTATGTGTGTAATTTTATTGAACATTTCAACAATACACGTTCTAAACAGGTTAAATTCAATTTAAAAATTTACAAATTCAGATCTACTGGCATTCAACACCCAATTACTTACTTGCTGTATATTGCTAACTTTGATTGTATATTGTCAATCCCTCCACATCGTGAATACGCCATGCGAGGTGTTGGATAAGTTTGATACAGGGTGGCGGCTTCGAAGCGTCGAAAAAAATCCAGGTAAATGAAAGTGTAAAATTTTGTTGTTGAAAATTTTAAGTACTAAATTCCTAAATTTGTACTTAATTCCGTTCTACGGGTAACATGGTTGTTTGATATGAAAATAGGATAAAAAGCATCCGGAAAAATTAATTATCACGTTATAAGTATTCGTAAATGGATATGAAAAAACTTAACAAGGAATAAGTATTGGTAAACGGACAGAAAGTCGCAGGACAAAGGTTTAAATTAATTATTTTACAATTGTTTAAATATATGAGAGAAAGTTCTTGACGAATTGACTTTATTCAGAGATAAATGTATTTAGTTGAGGAAATGATTAATTCGCCTTCAAATAGTTTTTTTTTATCAATAACTTATAAAAAGGAGACATTTTTGACAGCATGACTTCAGTTAATTACCAAACCACTTTGGCAGATTGTTTTCTTAACAATCATTGTTCATATTAATATTCAAAAATAAATTTTGTTTACAAGTCCGTTTCCTTTTAAAAATGTTTCAGAAAAATACTGAAACGTTTTTAAAATTAAGTTTATTCAAAGAAAAAAATATCCCAAAACTGAATCGTGACTTTTTACTTGTTACTTTTTGTTGTACGTTCTAAGTGTCAATCCTAGCAAACACAAATTTGGAAATAAAATCGATTACAATGTAATTTTATAGAAGGAAAAAGGGGGGTTAATGAACAAATTATTACTATACACTCACATACTTCTAAAAAGATTTGCATATGTAAGCTGTCTATAGATAATGTTAAATTATTTCTGGAGTTTCAATTAATTTAGGAGAAAAAAAGATTATAAACAGTTTAGTTTTCAACGCCTACTACTACAACAAATAGTGATTCTTTTTGTAGATTTGGTACTTCAGTTTCGACTCAAAATTTCCTATTGTAATTGTTAGATGCCAAATATTTAGGAGAAGATTGTATTTGTACTTTATGTAATTGTGGTGATATTGGCGACGCGATTCATTATATTATAGCAAGGATTTGTAAAAATCCTTGATTATAGAATGTTCGGCAATAGACGAGAGTAGACAAACCCTATTTAAACGGGGTTTTTATCTCCAAGGACGCCACATTTTACATCGAATAAGATCTATATTTGTTAACGTTTTCAAATGAAATAACTTGAATTGAAAATTTCCCGACTATGTGGAGATTTCTTATATTTCTAAATGGCTTCAATTATATATACAAAACGAAAGATTTATTGAAATTTTTTTGTAAAAACAATATTCATGTATTTTTATTATTTTTCCAAGGAAACGTTTTTTTTTTGTTTGTTTGCAAAGTTTACTTGTATGTGTTTATAACCATCACCAATCAGTCCTAATTATTAAAGACCAAACGTCGTAATCAAAATGATGATTGGTATTGAATATGATCATCGGTCATGCATGACGTATCCCAAATAACTTCTTTAATATTGGTTTTGATTTTATCAAAACCAATATTATAAGATCAAATATTAAATTATCTATCGAATGTATACCCTCAACGCTCACTAAAACATATATACATGTCATGAGTGACTTTTTATGTCTTGTCTGCACTCAGGAGGTCCTGAGCGGTTTTTAGACGTACCGTTAATTTATAGGCATATATTTGAAGCTGTTCTTAATTATGTACATTATCTATAGGTATACATGTATCAGACAAAAAGACTTTCCAATGAACTTAGTTCTAGTTATCTTAGTTCCTAGTCACAGGCACTTGTCTCAGAAAAAAATTTCCTATATACTTTTAATGTTATATTAAGCAGGGACTTTCTATACTAAGTTAGTATAGAAAGTCCCTGTATTAAGGTATATAGGAAACAAAATTCTGAGACAAGTGCCTGTGGTCCTAGTGTGAAATAAATCCACTGGGAATTGGCCTTTTTAAACACATCTATATATACGTTTTCTCAAGGGTTTGTACATGTAAAGTGAAATTATGTTTACTCAATGCGTAGTTACATAAGTTTATTTGCTACTTTTTTCTTCTTTATTTTATATAAATGATTTTTTTTTTTAATTTTAACATTTTTTTCTTCGAAAGAATTGTAGTGTTGCAATAGGGAATGGACACAGATACTTAACTACATTTAACGAAAAAAATTTTGTGTAATGTCATCAATCTGTATTACACATAGACAGGATGTTCTCTAGAAAACTATGATATTTCTAATACGTTATACACACCCCAGGGTACACGCACTGTCGTAATGGAAAATTACTGCATGCTTTAATTACCTGTAATCAGCCATGCAACAAATCAGTTGACTGACCATGTCATTACAGTTTAAAAAGTTTTTCCTCAGATCAAAACGGAATATTCATTTTAACTTTAAAATTTAAAACTTTAAAAAGTATACTTTGATATAATTATGACGTAAAAGAATTTAACAATTTAAAAATCGGATTTTTCCAAAGATTAAGATACAATTACATTTATTATTCTGGGACTGACAGATATATCACAGGCACTTGTCTCAGAATTTTTTTCCTATATACTTGTATTAAAGTATATAGGATTTTTTTTTCTGAGACAAGTGCCTGTGAGATATATACATGCATAAGTCCCAGACATATATAATTGTAAATCAAAATGATTTACATAATTACTGGGAAATAATATAATGTTTCAGTTATGTTGATGTCACAAATACACATGAATTATTTGATGATGCATGCTGGAATTTCTTATCTAACTGCATGACGGTGACCACAGACATATATATATATATATCCATTTACTGATTCTATAATTTCTTGAGAAAAAAAATCAGGAGGGAAGTCAGAGGGAAGTGAAACAAACATTTTAAGCTTTTATTAAAAATTGTTGGGAAAACAATAAAATACGACACTGAGTTTTGAAAAAAAGTTTATGATTGATCTTAATTTTTTTTTTTTAATAAAGATAGAAACAATTTTTTGTCCCAAGAAAAAAAAACAATGCCCCCTTTTTAGCCAAACCGACACACGCCGATGAATGAAGAATTCCAAGAAGGGTCACAAGGTCACATTTTAAAACTTTTTCAGTCGCCCAGTCTCAAAAAGCAATTTTGACTGGCATTGTTTTTAGTCGAATTATGTTTTTGCAGGTCAGGTTGCAAAGTGGCAGGTCGGATTTGACAATGTCAAGTTGACAACGGTCCTAAAAAATATCCGAAAAAACGTTGAATCAAACGATATGAACCTACGCAGTTTTATATTATAAGACTGACACACACCAGTGTGCTAACTGTGCTGGGTGAGGTGCTGTAACTTGATATTCATGTTACAGTACTGTTAGGATTTGCCAGCTGCCTTTTTACAGGGACTTTCTATACTAACTGTTAGTATAGACTGCCCCTGACTTGAAAGTATGGTTCTCTGCTCATCAACGGGTGCGTGATTAGCAAATCAAATATCTTGTAGCAGTAAAATACCTCCGGGGGGGGGGGGGGAGGGGCACTTCAATACTTAATTGATAGGGGGTGTCGCTGGGGTTCTGTTACCCCACCCTATTCATATAATTTAGATCTTAAAAATGTATACCTTTTCATATATTGCGTGGGTAAAATTGTAACCTTTTCCCATATTGGTTGGTTTTCGTGGGGTATGTTGGAAAAGTGGAATATTTAAGGCTAAGATTCTGTATGTAATGTTTACTTACGGCGAGACTTCAGTCGGCTGTGAAAAAAATGACAGGGCTT